TCCAGGTGTACTTTCTATAGTCCAGGTGTACTTTCTATAGTCCAGGTGAACTTTCTATACTCCAGGTCTACTTTCTATAGTCCAGGTGTACTTTCTATACTCCAGGTCTACTTTCTATAGGAGGAAAGATAAAAAAATGTTAAGATAGAATAATTACAAACAGGAAGAGCAGAGCAAGTAAAAACAGCAGCAGAGAGAGGACGTGTGGTCAGTTTGTCTTTCAACAGTCTAAGCCTATAGCAGCAGAACTAAGGGATATTTCAGGAAACCGAAGCCAACCCTAACTATAGGATTTATCAAAAAGGAAAGTCTTAATCCCAGTTTTAAAACTGGACAATGTGTCAGTCTCATGGACAGAAACTGGAAGTTGGTTCCACAAGAGAGGAGCCTGAGAACTGAAAGATCTTCCTTCCATTCTGCTGCTGGAAACTCTAGGAACCACAAGTAAACCTGCAGTCTGAGAGTGGAGTGCTCTGTTAGGAAAATATGGAACAATAAGATCTGTAATATAAGATGGAGCCAGGTTGTTGAGGGCTTTGTAGGTTAGAAGTAAGATTTTGAATTCTATTCTGGATTTGACAGGGAGCCAATGGAGAGAAACTAAAACTGGAGAGAGATGATCTCTCCCATTAACTCCAGTTAAGACTCTGGCAGCAGCATTTTGGATCAACTGAAGACGTTTTAAAGAAGTATTTGGACACCCAGATAATAAACCATTGCAATAGTCCAGTCTAGACGTGACAAATGCATGGACCAGTTTTTCTGCATCATCTTTAGATCAGATGTTTCTAATGTTAGTGATATTACGCAGGTGGAAGAAGGAGGTTCTAGTAACGTTTTTAATGTGGGGGATAAAAGACATGTCCTGATCAAAAATAACACCAAGATTTTTAACATTAGAGCTGGAGGACAGATTAATGCATCTAAGGAGGGAGAAAGACTGAAACATTCATTCCTAAGGTGCTCAGGTCCAAAAACCAAAACCTCAGTCTTGTCTGTTCAACAGGAGAAAATTAAGGGTCATCCAGGTTTTTATGTCTTTAAGACATGCTTGTAGTCTAAGTAGCTGATTGGATTCATTGGGTTTAATGGACAAATATAATTGTGTGTCATCAGCATAACAATGGAAATTTATCCCATGCTGTTTAATAACTTTACCTAATGGAAGCATATATAAAGTAAAGAGTATTGGCCCAAGCACTGAGCCCTGAGGAACTCCATGACTAACTTTGGTGTATGATGAAGATTCATTATTTATATCAGATAGATATGATTTAAACCATTTTAGAGCTGTTCCTGTAATCCCAACATCATATTCAAACCTCTGTAGTAAAATATTGTGATGAACTGTATCAAATGCAGCACTGAGGTCTAACAGGACCAGTAGAGACACAAGTCCATTGTCTGAGGCCATGAGAATATCATTAGTGACTTTTACTAGTGCTGTTTCTGTGCTATGATGAGCTCTAAACCCTGACTGAAACTCTTCAAACAGATTATTTCTTTGTAGATGTTCACACAACTGACCTGCAACTAGTTTCTCTAGAATTTTTGAGATGAAAGTTAGATTAGATATAGATCTATAGCTGGCCAGGATTTCTGAATCAAGATCAGACTTCTTAAGTAAAGGTTTAATTACAGCAACCTTAAAGCTCTGTGGTACATAACCATTCTGATTTATGGACTTTTTTTCCAGTCTTTATTTCTACAGGTTAATCCCATTGAGCCTCGAGGACTCATTTACAAGAGAGACCTGGTTTAACAAAGAATCATGACAACAATGGACAGTTATTAAAAGGCATACAGATTGTTTTTAAACAAATTAATATAAGATGCAAAAAGTAACAACCAGCTAAATTATAAGGTGAATGTAGAAAACTACAAACAGGAACATTGCATTGGTCCTTACCAGGAGTCCAACAGATTCTTAGCAAAAACCAATGCAGACATGTTCCAGTTTAGTTTTCTACATTCACCTTATAATTTAGCTGGTTGTTACTTTTGTGCATTTTATTTTAATTTGTAAAAAAAAATGTGTCTTTTTATAATTGTCCATTGTTGTCATCATTCTTTGTTGTTTATGGTCTGGATCTTCAGATTCTGGTTCTGAAGTAGAGACAAGATGAGCTCAAGTAAGGACAAGATGAGCTGAAGTAGAGACAAGATGAGCTCAAGTAAGGACAAGATGAGCTGAAGTAAAGACAAGATGAGCTGAAGTAGAGACAAGATGAACTGAAGTAGAGACAAGATGAGCTGAAGTAGAGACAAGATGAGCTGAAGTAGAGACAAGATGAACTGAAATAAAGACAAGATGAGCTGAAGTAGAGACAAGATGAGCTGAAATAAAGACAAGATGAGCTGAAATAAAGACAAAATGAGCTGAAATAAAGACAAGATGAGCTGAAGTAGAGACAAGATGAGCTGAAATAAAGACAAAATGAGCTCAAATAAAGACAAGACCAGCTGAAATGGAGACAACATAAGCTGAAGTGGAGACAAGATGAGCTAAAATAAAGCCAAGATGAGCTGAAATAAAGACAAGATGAGCTGAAATAAAGACAAGATGAGCTGAAGTAGAGACAAGATGAGCTGAAATAAAGACAAAATGAGCTGAAATAAAGACAAGACCAGCTGAAATGGAGACAACATAAGCTGAAGTGGAGACAAGATTAGCTAAAATAAAGACAAGATGAGCTGAAATAAAGACAAGATGAGCTGAAATAAAGACAAGATGAGCTGAAGATGATGGACTGAAGCAAAACCTGGACAGAAACCGGATCCACAGACGTGACCGAAGACAACAGAAAGAAAATGACAGAAAACCTGAACAGAACCATCAGATTTGGACCTTCAGCTTTTTGCTTTGACGTGTCTCAAACATCAAAGGTTCTGACGTTGCTGTCCTCATCTTTTGTTCTTTAAAACCTTCGGCTGTAACGAGCGCAGAAACAACTCTGACACATTTTAATTGAAATATTTGATCAGAAAATCAGCTTCCGGGCCACGAGGGAGGAGATCCGTTCTTATCGGGCTCAGCCCATTAGCTGCCAATTAACAGAGGAGATGAGGTTCTGAACGGGCGGGGTCCAACACGAAGACAAAGCTTTGGCTGCAGCTGCTGGAGTCCATCCCTCAGCTGGGTCTGGACGCAGGTGTCGGGGCAGCATCAGATCAGGGAGGTCCAGACGTCTCTTCCATGACTCCT